TTGGTGAGAAACCCTGAGAAGTCTGCTCTCCCAAGCAGATGGAGGGCTTCGTAGGTGTAGCGTAGTCAGGGTTCGATTCCCGGACCTCGCACCCGAGCTTTTGTTTTTTTGCCCTCTTTGATTGATACTAGGAGATACTGGCAGGCTACGGTGGTGAACTCTGCATACGTTCGACGTCATTCGTTTGGAGGTCGACCTAACTAGACGAGCCGATGCATGTCGCGGATTTCAATCTAGAATAATCAGCAAACTCAGCGCAGCAAACGTTCATGCTGGTTAACCGCATCCCGCGTCCCATGTGCCTTCGCATTCCGAGACCTATCTCCGAGATGCCTCGCAATCTGAATTTACTCTCGCCGATTCCGTATGGGCGGTACATTGCGTGCTCGGCTTCACGTCGCTAACCGGACCGTTCCGTTAACTTGCCTATGGTCCACAACTATCTTGCAAGGTTCGACAGCGAAGCGGATGACCACCGCGTAACACCTACCCTGGGCCGAGCTCTCGACCAAGATGCTAAGGGGGGCAAGGTATATCAGCTTGCTTTCCCGTCTGAACAATTGATGATTATGTCGCTTATCGTTCTCCCTCGACTCCAAGATGGCAGAAGTCAGCCGATTCGAGCCGCACAAAATGGTGTGGCAGCAAGAAATCTTCATGTGACACACCCGGGCTAGGACCTGGTACATCGATCTAACGCAATGGAGGGCCACCAGTACCGTGAGTTTAGTGCTTTTGTAGAACAGCTGCGATGTCAGTAATAAACATTACGAACTTATTGCGTTGGTTAAGATGTGCCGCGAGATATCATTGATGGCTCGAAAGTGCATTCGTATTCCGAATACTGCGTCCGCGATCATGTCCGAACATCCGAGGAGCCTGCGTTTGAATCGTTTCTATTGCAAAAAAGGGTCTCTTCGTATTGGTACAAGCCATGACACGCCCCTTACAAGGCGCCGAGCTCCTTGAGCTTCGCAACGAGACCGTCAACGTCCTCGACCTTGCCGCCACCCTGGCGCTGAGGGGGCTCTGTGAAGATTGGTTAGCTCGCAATTTCTCCAGAAGAAAACATAACCAGTCCGTCTTCTGAGCAGGCATGTAGGGGAAAAGACAGTGGTTTCGCTAAGAGCGCAAAAAAGGACTCACCAGTAACCTTCAAAACCTTCAACCTCTTCTCAACACCAATCCCGTAGTCGGCCAGCTTCTTCTTCTCAAGCGGCTTCTTCTTCGCCTTCATAATATTCGGCAAGCTCGCGTACCGCGGCTCGTTGAGCCGCAGATCCGTCGTAATCACCATCGGCAACTTCGCCTTGACCGTCTCCACGCCACCATCAACCTCGCGCGTGACGCTCACGCTATCCCCCTCGCCAAACTCCACCACGCTCGCCGACGTAGCCTGCGGCCAGCCCAGAAGCCCAGCGAGCATCTGGCCCGTCTGGTTCGCGTCGTCGTCGATGCTCTGCTTGCCGAGGATGACGAGGTTGGACTTGTGCTCCTCGGCGGCCTTGCGCAGCAGCTTGGCCACGCTCAGGGGCTCCAGGTCGTCGCCCTCCTTGGTCTCGACGTGGATCGCGCGGTCGGCGCCCATGGCCATGGCGGTGCGCAGCACGTCGACGGCCTTGGGGGGTCCCGCCGAGATGACGGTGATGTCCTCGACGCCGCCGGGCGCCCGCTTCTTCTCGCGGATGCGGACCGACTCCTCGACCGAGAGCTCGTCAAAGGGGTTCATGGAGTGTTTGACGCCGGCCGTCTCGACGCCCGTCTGGGCCTTGTTGACTCGGGGCTTGACCTAAGTTTTGCGGAACCATTGATGTTAGTTGAGGACCACACAATCACAAGCCAATTTCTGCGGGAGTGCCCATTGCGTGCGGTCGTGAGAGCTTTGGTAGACGTACAGCATAGTCAATGACCCGCTTCACGGGAACGAGGATTCGGAGGGCGGACATGACTGGGCTCTCTCTCTCGTTATGCTTCTTCAATGGCTCGGTGTTGATGCGTGGAGGGGGGCTGCTTGTGGTACTGCGCAGATGGGAATTGGAGGGTGTGGTGGGAGCTCGAGGTCTTCAATGGTCAAGGTCCGTGTCGTCACTGGGGAAAATGGGACCTCCGTCGTTAGCGATACCGGCTAACCTCGGGTCACCGCCCCACCGTAAGCCCTTTTCGGTCATTCGAGCGTAGACGCCGACTTGCAGGCTCATAATCCCGAAGCTTCTCATTTTTGGTCGATTTGTTCGTTTGGAAGTCCCGCCCTCACATAAGGCATCTCGGCTTTGAGAAGTTCGCTTCGCTCAACTCTATCCACTCAGTAGAGCATTGTCACCATGAAAGCATGAGACACACTTAGCTTAACAGTTGCACACCTACTAGACATACCAGTGCATAGCGTCTCTAAGGTCGAAACAAGTGATATTGCAGTCTAAATTGATATTCTTCGACTTGCAGGCCTGCCAAAGCACAACAACCGCTCACCCATACAACCCCTAAACCCTCCTTCCCGGACACCGTATATAACGCCCGCACTCACCAGTCATCCCACCCATCATTGTCCTTCTTCGCAGCCGGTGCCGCGGCACCTCCAGTCTTCTTGCCCATAGCAGACGTACCAATCGAGCTGCCGCTCTGCGTCTGCCTCTGGTCCGCCAGACTGCTAAAGCTGTCCCAAAAGTCCTTTTTGCTCTCATCCAACGGCGCCTGTCTCGACGCTCCGCCCTGGCCCCCTTGGCTGGGACCGCCCTCGACGAAGCGGTTGAAGCCGTCATGGGCATTGCGGGCACCCTGCTGCGCGACGCGGCCCGCGTTGGCCGCCGCCATCTGCGCTTGCTTTGCAAAGTCGGATTCGGCAAGCTAATTTCAAGGAGGACGTCGGATTAGTCCGGAGTTCTTCGTTCGGGCCGGCGCCGGAGGAGATATGATTGAAGTAGAAGAGTCACCCACCTGTTTCGCTGTGGGCTGAATGTAGCCATCGTTGACCGTCTTGGCCGTCTTGGAGACGGTGGTTGTGAACCAGCCGAACCCCTTGGTCAGAGCAGCCACTGGATCCCTCTGTAAATCATCCACGGTCGGGATACCGCTTTCCTTCTTCTCGGGCATGGGGCTGCTGCCGAATCCTGCGTATTTTCCTCCTTGGCTGGGAGGCAAGTCTTCGGATCGGGAGGCGTTCTCGGCGCCGAGCTTGGAGAAGTATTTGTCGTCCACCTTGACCTTCCTGCCGGGACTGGCGGCGCGGCTGTTTGTGCTGCTGAGAGGTGTGCCCGTTCGGCTGGCGGGCTTCGCCGCCGGTGCTGGTGCAGGCTTCTTCTCGCCGGGAACGTACTCCTTGCCCTCGACCTTGGCAGAAAGCCTGTCCTTCCACTCCTCACCGACCTCGCCACTGTATCGCTCCGCGATCGTCGCGTCGTCCCACGAGATACCTCTCATCTTGGTGTCCTCGTGCTGTTCGAAGAAGTTGCGCCAGTTCTCGTTGCCACCCAGGCGCATCCGTTCGATCTCGACCTGCTTAAATGCGTCCATTGAAATGCTGCGCACGAAAGAAATGTGCACACCGAGACCGCGATGGATACCGGCGCATGAGAGGCAGATGAAGATGCCGAACTTCGGGGAGGCCCATTGCGGGGATGGTGCGTTGCAGTCGCAGCAGACGTTGTTCTTGGCCTCCTTTTGAATCGCGGCTAGCTGTGAGGAGACGTTGGGTTAGCGGCGAGTCGCGGAGTCGCAAGCGAGGCCCTCGACTTGGGAGAAGACTCACCTTGGCGCGCGTCTCGGGATCAACCTCCCACATGGCCTTGGAAGCCATCGTGGGAAGGAATTAGGGCTGGTGATTGGGTATGAGGGGAAACCCGTGGCAAAGGAGAGCTGATTGAGGTACGTGGGAGGTTGTCTTGTCGCAGAGGAGTTGTGGAGGGGCTTTCTCGATGCCGATAAGGGGTTTTGCTGGCAGTCGACTAGGGTGCGGGAGTCTGGGCGTCTGGTCAGGTTGGGTACCTTTTAGTGACTGACGTTGCCCTCAATTTCATCCATGTATTTGAGTTTCTTGGCCTAGGGGAACGGACACGTGAGCTACCAAGTCTCTGGTAACACCAACCTGCCAATTTGTGCTTCCAGGTCCATGGAGTTATCGTCATGCTCAAGTGTATGGATTCTCATTCAAGCAATCGAGGCAGCACATATTGAATCTCTCACGTCGGTCAGGTAGTCACGGCGCAAAAGACAAGGTAAGGTAGACAGGGGGCCTTCAACTCCATGGGGCTCTGCTGGAGACTCGACAGTCAAGGAAAGGTCCAGACTTTGGTCTGGGACACTTGGCTTTTGGGGCTCTGCCGCCACCCAATGATAGTCCTCGAAACGCTATACATGCACCACTGAAACCAACCACTGATTCCCACCGAATGCTCAACGAAAAGTGTCAAGGTCCTAGGAACGACATACCTTACCTTCCTAGATTTGCATGGCCATGGAACTCCATGTGCAAACTGTGCAAGGCAGCACTCTGTTAGTAGCCGTTCAGACGATTTCTGCGAACTCGAACCACAGTACGCAACCTTAAAATCACTCAACGATGATGCATTCTCTAACCGATTTTTGGTGTTGCACCGCCCTTTTGTATTTTTTTGTTTAACTGTAAAAAGCTACCCGATTTGAAACGTTTTGCGCCAAACTTTTCCTCTTCCTTTTAGACCGCCTCCAGCTTAAGCTAATTTACAACCCAGCATAGGGTGACGGAGAAAATGCGAGGTCAGGTAACAAGTACAGAAGAGGTGGCCGGTAAGATCATGTGTATTAGTTTAGGGATGGTGGCAGCCCTGCACATCTTATTTGGCCTATCTACCGAGAGCGAATCTCGTAAAAAGGCAGACGTAGATGTATTTGGCCACCTTTTTGGTGGGCACTTCCAAAAAATTGAAATCGTCGTAACAGGTACCGCATCGTAAAGCTCGTAAAGGCAATGGCTCCGGAGGTTGGGCCAAGACGCATTGCCGGGGCTGTAGGTAGGTCGCCCACATTTAGGCGGTGGTGGCGGGAGCGGCAGCCGGGGTCTCGGCAGCAGCAGGAGCAGCCGCGGCCTCGGTGGCAGCCTCCTGGGTGCCGTTGGCCTTGGTCTCCTCCTTGGGGGCGTTGGCCTCCTCGTCGGTCTTGTCGGGGCTATCGATAGCGACCTTGACGGCGATCTCGCGGCCCTCAATCTCCTTGCCGTTCATCTCGGAAACAGCCTTCTGCTGAAGCTCCTCAGAGGCGAGGGTAACGAAGCCGAAGCCACGGCCCTTGCGGGGCTCGCCGCGAGCCTGAAGCTTCTTGATCATGAAGCGGGGGATGGGGCGGAGAGCGATCTTGGCGGAAGAAGGCTCGTAGGCGGCGAAGAGCTCCTTGAGCTATTGAAATGTGTCAGTACTAGGCAATAAACAGAGCCAATGATGATATCATACCTTCTCCTCGGTCAGATCGTAGGGGAGGTTGGCGACCATGACCTTGGTCTTGGAGGCAATGCCATCGGCGGGAGGGCCACGCTCGCGACGCTCACGGGGGGCACGAGCCTCAGCGGACTCGCCGGCCTTCTGGGTCTTGGCGGCATCCTTGTTGGTGGCATCGGTCAGAGGCAGAACCTCAGAGGTAGCGGGAGCGCCGGCAGGGACCTCGGCGGCAGCACCCTCGATGGGAGTGCCATCCTCCTGTAAATTTGTAAGCAGCTCCTCACGAACTATTCCTTGACTTCAACTTACGTTGCGGCCACCGCGGGCACCACGACCGCCACGGCCGCGGCCACGTCCACGGCCACGACCGGAGGCGCGGCGGCGGTTACCCTCACCAGCACCCTCACCGTTGGCACCCTCGGTCTTCTCTCCAGCGGGCTCAGGCTTGCGGGCAAGCTGAACCGAGACCTTACGCTCGAGAATCTCCTTGCCGGAAAGCTCAGAGATGGCGCGCTCGGCCTCGGAAGGGGTGGAGAGGTCGACGAAGGCGTAGCCAACAGGTCGGTCGGTGCGAGGGTTCTTGGGAATGGAGACGGACTCACTATGGAAAAAGGCGGGTCAGTATGAGTTGTCATGTGTGACGCAAGTGGGTGGAATTTTGCGGGGCAGGGGAGGGATGAGAGGCCACGCTGCAACATCGTGACAGTTGAGAGAAGCGGTCTAGGCAACAGCAGCAGCAGGGCAGCAACGGACGCAAAGCGACGCCCAACCTCGATGCATCGTGAGTCAAATGCAAACGATGCAAGCAAGTGGGCATCGATGCGATGTCAGAAGCATTGCCGTAGAGGATATGTGGGGAACAGGTGCTTTGGGAAGGTACAGCTTCCTCGGAAACAAGCTCGCACTACCACCTACAGTAGGCTCCCGTGATGAAATGACGACAGGTTGAGGACGACAATAAGGTCGGTGACGACAAAAAGTGACGATGAGAAGATTCGCGACAACTTACACAAGGTAACCCTTGAAGAACTCCTTCAACTCCCCCTCCGTTGTCGCGTAGGCCAGGTTGCCGATGTACAGACGGCGTCCCTCAGCAGCGCTGGCGAGGACGGCATCGTTGTTGGCGGCAGGCTTATCGGCGGCCTTGTCGGAGATAGTGGCATTGCTCAGAGCATTGGTAACGTCATTGACGGCTTCGGAAACCTTCTCGACGGCAGCAGACATTTTGGCGGTGTTGGTCTGGTGGATGGAGACGGAGGTTTGTGGAGGTTGAGGCTGCGTTTCGGTGAAGTGCGTGATAACAGATGACGTGCGAACTTGGACCCGGTGGCAGGAACGAAGATTCGAGATTGATGAAGAATGGAAGTTCGGTGGATTAGAACTCTGAAACAATGAGGGGGAATTTTCTCAGGGTAGCTTGGTGCCCTAGAAAGCTTGAAAAAAGTTGACAGACGACGTTGCGTTGCGCGGTGACACAGGATCTTGAATTTGTGATGTGGAGGGAAAGGAGAGAGGAAAGGGATGGCTCAAGCCGCGACCTCAAATACAAATATTTTTTTTCTGGTGAGCAGGGGAAACAGAGGACGAGGGTAAGCGAGGCGCAAACCCACCGAACAGCAGGTGCGGCCCACGTTCTGGGTACCTTGGGATGGCAAGAGCGGGCTCCTAGGCTGCTGTGGCGGTGCGGAAAGACGAGGGTGTGGGTGGGTACTTGCCTATTGTGTCTGCAGCAGCCGGGTAGGGGGGTATGGGGTAAGGAGAAGGGGGAAGGGGGAAGGCACGAATGGAAATGACGGCAGCGCAGCAGCTTTCCATATGTTTCTCGCCGGATGACGCGATGGGCTTATTGTTTTTTTTGTATGATTACGATATATTTATCAACAGGAACCTAAGACAGAACAGTTCTGTTGTGCAAACACGCAGGGACAGCTTCAGTTCCACGTCAGAAAGTGCCTTGAACCAAGAGCCGGGATCAAGCTGCTCACCTCATCTCTTTCCTCACGCGTCAAATATTTACCTACTTTAAGGTGCCATAGGTGCCTAGGTGCCTTATTAACCTAAACCTTCATGAAAGGTCGTCTTGCCAGTGTTGAAGTGGAAGGAGGTCCCCTTACCAACCCTGGGAAGGTAAGGCGGTGGAATGCCATCCATCCAGGAAAGACCCACACGATAGTGTTGGACATGGCAGGTACCTAATAGGCCATCTGTTCAAGCCACAGAGCACGGGCTTTTAGAGATGGGCCAGACGGCAACCCTTGCTAGGAGAAGAAAGGTGCAGCTTCTCCATTGCTTCTTTTTCTTCTTCTTACTTTCCCCCTTTCCATCGATGTACCTTTCGTGGGCGGAGTACCGGTACCGCAACATTAATTTATACATCGGACCTTATCAACCACGCCGGTCGTCAACATAAGCCCTGACTGGCTGAAAGACACTTATGCTGAGCAACCCATCAACAAAAACATGCAACTCACACGAGAAGAAACCTGTGTGATCTGCCCAGGCGGTGACAACAGCATCGGCCTATCAGGGCGGTGGTATGACTCTTCCCCCGCAAAATGGTCGTGATGGGATCCTAGCCAAGCCAGGCCTGAACCAGTGCCCACCCGCTGATGTGCGTGTTCGTGGAGCCACCGGCCGCCAGAAATGCGACAAAGATCTCGGCAGCTACGGTCTGGTCTCTACGGAGGACGGATAGCGGACCTGACTTGTCTTTGTGTCGGCCCAAAGTGTTTGCAGCTACCCGCGACCATTGTGGTTGCTCACGTGCAATTTTCAGTCCACAAACCTTGAAGTCTGATATTTTGGCATCCCCAAGATGGCCCCCAGGTGCTTGCTGGCCCGATTTGCCCACGTTTGCCGCATCCACAGATCCCGATTGGCCGCCGGTATTCGTACCTCACTGCTCAACATCGGCAAGACTTGCATCAAACAACACGATTTTCCTGGGATCCGCCTGTCAACAATTGAAAGGAATCACCTCGCCCAGTTTACACTCTCCTACTTCATATTGCTGGCTGTGTTCTTTGAAGATTGCTCGCAATGGTCTGGTTATAACCTCTCATGTCTACACTGTGAGAGCAGCCGGATGGGACGCTCTTGTACAACATTATCTCTGAAAGCTCACAATCAACCCAATGCCGGCAAATCTTGCTCGTTCATCCTCTGCTTATTGATACCATTTGTGGCCTGGTACGAAGTACCCTCTCCTGTCTGGACGTGAGTTGATTTCTCTCAGAGCCAGTATTGCGCAAAAACCCTTTTTTTATCAATGACCACAGTCAACGATCACGATCAATCTTTTCGATCTTATTTCCTGGACTGCCTCGTGCGACGCTGCGAGAGACATGAATCGGATACTTAAATCCACGGTCCATCGCGAGAGACTACCCTGTATGCGTGCGTCTACCGAATGGATTCTGTTTTGCCTAACCTTGCCTCAGTGAACCTGGTCACGCTGGTTCATCTTAGCCAAACCATATATCAATGCAGTTTGTTTTCTAGCTCGGTTTGCACCTTGCAGTAGTCTATCAACCAAACCGGACGTTGAGCCTAGAGCAAGCGACGGGTCACAGTCAGCAGTGTAATTACACGTCGCCAATCCCAAGCCTCAACTACGGCAATACAAGACATTCGCAGCTTGCACACACGCGAGTGACGCGACGGCTGGCCCGGCCGGTTCAGCAATGTGGCTCCGGCGGATGCCAATTCAGGGCCCATCTCCCGTCCCTGGTCAGCATCGTCCTCCCGTATCTATGGGACCGCGGAGAGATGCTTTGGCGTCCGGAATGATACAATTTCCCACGGCCCACTGGATCTCGCGGAGCGCATGAAGATTTTGGTGAGGGTCCCCTAGCAACCCGCGCTAAAGCTCCATGGGTCTTAACGGTGCAATGCAGGGGGGCGGCCAACAGTGCAAAGAAGGGACGAGGGCAGCAGATTCCCTCTGTCCCTTGTCCTGGACTCAGCTACTCCTATCAATCCCGCGCTCTCATGTCCGATATTGATGTCAACACGAGCGCGAATATCCGATGCTCAACCAACACCAATCAGCAAGGGGATGACTGTCGCGCGTACAGATCGACAGACAATCTCCCACCCAGGATAGTATTGAGGATGTTCGGATAGCGCAAAGAGCAACTGCCCGGGCAGAACAGATGAGTCCGCGTCTTCAGACCTGCGCCTGCTATTTCGCTTTGTGGACGCCATCGTCAGCAAGAATCCTGAGCTCGCGTGGGATTCGGTGAGAACGGAAACAGTCGTGTCAGCAGCTCGAGGCGTGGTAAGGCGGAGACCTGAGTCGTGAAGGTTTTCCCTGACTTTGCCTCATCTGTCGTCTCGCAGTAAAGCGCCTCAAGCTTCTCCACAGGAGCTTCTTCGGTATGGGGCATGCTGTTACTCGCCCTGCCTGGAGAGTGACACCAGCGCCGACCTCCCGTGCGTGAGGTGGTCCCAGCCCGCCCAACCGTTACCTTGCATGCAAGGCAGCACACCGCCGCATCTTTAGTTGTTAGGGGGTCTCAGCCCATGAATCGCCGCTCTAATCTTGTTGGGATTAGTGACTGTCTAAGTTCCGGCACTGGGTCCTGGTGCCCTGCAACTCTTCGATGGGATTCTCTCCCACCTGTGGCGCATGCAAAAGACGTACCTGGATCTTGGGGAGGTCGGCTGTTATCCATGCTTGTGGCTGACCGATACACAGGCCTTGACAGGCTGCCTTACGCTCGCTCGCAAGAGCATGTGCCCCAGACAATTCAAAGCACTCAATGACGTTTCGAGGATTGTCTCTAAACTCGACTATCACGACGGAGAATTTCTCTTTTTCCAGCTTTTACGTCTGACTGAGATTCCCAAATTTCTATTAGTACTTGAATAACTCAATCTCAAGCCAGTGCGATAACACGTGACTCAAAAAAGCACATGCATTTTCGCATTTTCGCGCCTTGAGAGTCCGAATGGCTCCTGCAGCTCCGATGCCGCTGGGAAGACAGAGAAAAAACATTTCCGAGAAGCTGCACCCCCGCGCTAGCAGACCCAAGAGCCGCATCTTGTCAGAGTCACGATTTTGAAAGGTCCCACCCGGATCACGCTGCAGTTGACGTTCACAATACAAGCAAGTCCGGATAGAACCTGCCATCAGCTTTTCGCAAGCAACAAGTACCTCGCCTCAAATTCGGTTCAAGGAATATGGTCACCGAAATCACCGGTCCCGAGCCGGCCGTGGTGGCTGACCTGCCAGGCCGGTCCATGTTGGTCCTTTACGGCTCGGAGACCGGCAATGCTCAGGATATTGCCGAAGAAATTGGTCGCAATGCCCAGCGTCTGCATTTCAAGACCAAGGTTGATGAGATGAACGGAGCTCAGTTGGTAGGTCTCCTTCAGCCTGAATGTGCTACTGCAGATCTGTCTACCAATGCACTTCATTACACGTCATTGAGCACCATACCTCACGCATTGCTGACTTCTCTGGTAGAGCGTGTTGCTTCAATACTCGATGGTCATATTTGTCATATCAACGACGGGCCAAGGTGATATGCCTCGTAATTCGATTGCCTTTTGGAAAAGCCTTTTGAGGAAGAAGCTACCGCCTGGCTGCCTCGGCGCGGTGAAGTTCACGACATTTGGACTTGGCGATAGCCTATACATCAAGTATGTCTTTTGGTCCTCGGGCGTTATTTCCCCTTCTCGCCTTCGTTGAGGACTACGGTTGCTATTATCAGCAATAGTTTCAACGGCTGACATTTCCCACAGATTTAACTGGGCTGCTCGAAAGTTGCATAAGCGGCTAGAGCAACTGGGTGCCGTAGAGTATTATCCACGAGGCGAAGCAGACGAGCAAGACTCGGATGGGTAAGTTTCTGTCGACTTCCTCTTACTTCGCCCTCATTTCCCATCTTCATTTCGGGCGGTTGTGCGTTCCGTTCTGTGACAAAGCTGTCCACAACATCAAGATGCGAGACCACCATCATCTCTTGGGATCTTGTCTCTGTGTGCTTCTCCCATCGTGCATATCCTTCTCATCTAGAGCTTCAACAAGCTTTATATTGGACTCGCTCCTCAGCACACTGCTCATGAGAGAACGAATATTTAGAGTCCAATCATCGAAATGCTAGTGCGTTCGATACGGTCTACCTTTTGATTCGACGGTGCTTGAGTTATTCCGTCTTGTCAGCCCCGACCTGCGATAGGTGTGTCTATCAGTCTTCCCAAGCCTTCTTCAGACCTTGTTGGCATTCTCTTATTCTTCCCCCATCTTATGTATCCGTCTATCGAACATTCGATGGAAGGCAAATATCTTGCTCCGTGTTGAAAATACCATAAAACCCATTCTCCCAACTGTTACCTGATCTGATGATTTTTACTGAGTATCGAGCAGAGCGGACGAAAGATACATGCCTTGGGCCGCAGACTTGCAAAAGCGCTTACTCGAGCTGTACCCCCTGCCAGAAGGGGTCTCTCCCATCCCAGAGGGCGCTCTTCTACCCCCGAGGTACACCGTCGAGCTAGCCACGAGCACAGAGACACTACAAAATGGAACCTCTGGCAGCAGTGGCGAGCATAAGACAAACGGGCATGTGGTAGAGATCGGAAACGACGACCAGCCCAATGGTACTTCTCCCAACTCAAAGACAATGAGCGCCATCGAGGATATAACACATGCGACCAATGAAATGACTATTGCCGAACCTTCGCCAACGGGGAACGGGCTCGAATCTCAAAATCAAACTCCTCCAACAACTCTCTTACCCATCCCTGACGGCCATGCCGCCTCGCTAGAACTCAATGAAAGAGTGACACCTACGAAACACTTCCAAGACGTCCGTCTCGTACGCCTCGCCGTCGAGCCTTCTGCCAATGGACCTCCCACAATAAACCCGTTTGACAGCCTAACGATTTATCCAAAGAACTTCCCCAAAGACGTCCAAAAGCTCATAGACCTAATGCAATGGAACAACATTGCCGACTCTCCTCTGTCCTTCAGGTCTTCTTCTGGGGCCACCAATCTCCCTCGAGGTCTCTACATCAGTCACGACCGTCCGACGACCCTACGTGATTTGCTCACGCACAATCTTGACATCACCTGCACCCCGCGCCGAAGCTTCCTCAAAGAGATGTATTACTTCTCCGACGACGAATACCACAAGGAGCGCCTCCTTGAGTTTACAATGCGCGAGTACACGGATGAGTTCTACGACTACACCACCAGGCCCCGCCGCACCATCCTCGAGGTCCTCGAGGAGTTCACCTCCGTCCGGATACCCCTGAGCCGCGTCCTCGACATGTTCCCCGTCATGCGCGGCCGAGACTTTAGCATAGCCAGCATTACCCACCAACCCAGCCTCCCGCCCTCTCAAGAGACGACGTCGACGACGACGACTACGACAATGACAACAGGAACGAAGACGAGCATCACCCTGCTGATAGCCCTCGTCAAATACCAGACCATCCTCCGCAAAATCCGCCAGGGCCTCTGCTCTCGCTACCTCGAATCCCTGACCTCGCCCGGAACCCCTCTCCGCATAACCCTCCACCGCAGCTCCGCATCCCTCCACGGGCCCATCCACGCCCGCCGGCCCCTTTGCGCCGTCGCAACAGGCACCGGCGTTGCGCCCCTCCGCCTCTTTATCGAAGAACGCCTCTCCCACCTCGCCTCAGGTGTGAGCGTCGGCGATACCGCCGTCTTCTTCGGTAGCCGCAGCAGAGAAGCAGATTTCCACTTTAGTGACGTCTGGGAAGACCTCAAGGCGAAGTATACCCTACCTTCTTTTCCTACCACTACCACTACTACTACCGATTCTGCTGCTGCTGCTGCTGCTGCTGCTGCTATAATCAACCACGCCGACGCCGCATCCGCAACCCCCGCCAACCCCAAATTCGACGTCCTGCCAGCCTTTTCTCGCGACAAGTCCGTCCCGCGAGCCTACGTCCAGGACGTGATCCGCAAACACCCCGAAACCATCCGCGCCATGGTCGCCTCGGACGCCATCTTCGTCGTCTGCGGCGGCAGCCTCAAGATGTCGCGCGCCGTCAAGGAGGCCGTCAAGGATTGTTTGCGCGGCGACTCGTCGAGGTACCCGGACGACGCGACCGTGGAGGCTGCCTTTACGAGGCTGACTTGGTGGGAGGAGATTTGGTAACGGGCAAGAAGACTGCCTCGGAAAGTTTTCTCGTTGCTGGAGAGGTACTTGGACGACCTCTCCTTGATGGAGCCGTTGGAAGGTCTGGGCTGAGGATTTTGTATACCACATCGTTCACGTGCCCAACGCGGGAAGATGCAATAGATCAGACAATGAGATTACACCCTTTCCAAAGCAGTCGCCCTCCGGCTTACCTATCACTTAGACTTGGACCTGCTATCGCGTATAGCAGACAACGTACATCAATTATCCGTATTCCAAACGTGCCCTTGTTATCCATAGTGGAGGTTGGAATCAAACTCAGCGGTACTCTTAGCCCTCAGTGATGTTTCCTGACCTTCACAGAACCCAATCCACTCACGGGAAAATCATACGTGAGGAGAGAAAGACCATTCATTTGATTTTGGATTTATTCATTTGTTTCTCTACGATGTCGAGAGTGGAAACTAGAGATGGTGAGGCTTGTCTAGATGCCAGAACATGGCAGCTTCGGTGACCTCGCCACCTCTCTATCTCGCTCCCTTTTGAGCATATCGCAAACAGAATCCAAGCTCCTGGTTCAAACCTGCTCGTAGCTAGACTCTGTACTCTCCATCTCCATCTGGGATAAGGTTCCCGCTTCGCGCAATCAACCAAGTCCTTTCCCAAGCCCAATTTTGTGGGCACCTAAACGCCGGCATGTCTGCATGCTGATATCCCTGTGTCCCCCTTTCTAGGGGGACATCCTATCCCAAACTCCGTCGCTTTATTTTGATTTATTCGAATCTGAAAAATCGGACTGCAGAAAAAGAAAGAAAGAAGTAGAAATAGTGCCGGCCGCTTTCTCTGCAGTCGTGCATTATAAGTGGTTATTTGTAAAGATCAAGTCATTTTTCTGGAAAGAATGGCAGGCTTTTCATGTTGTTAGTTCTCCCAGCTGTAGCGACGCTCTGCCATCTGGGGAATGTGGATGAATTCGGAGCCGTCGAGGCGTTGTAGGCTTCGCAGAGAGGTTGATTCCGCTTGCTGACTCCTCTCCTCATCTGGTAGGCTCACTTGTCTCGTCAAGTTGTCCTGAGCCATTAGCTCCTCCTCGAACTCGGTCCAGTTGCTTCCCAAAGTATCGGTAGATAGGCGATGAGCAGTGAGATCCTCAGGCACGGCAAGGTTGGTCCCGTGAGAGTATGCTAGCGGAGGGGGGACCACCTCGGGCTCTGGAAGAGACACGTTCTCTGGCAAAGGACCCAAGCAGACGATGTTTGATGGGTCGATTGGTGCTCTTTGATGAGTTGATGAAGGCGGTGAAGGAAGGGCAGGCAGAGGAACGTTTGGCGGCATAGGTGAGAAGGTGGCGCGGGTTGCTGTAAACGCCTCACTCTCGGGGGACACAGGTTGAGGCAGTGTGTTGCCAGGGTTGCTGACAGTGAAGGTTGGTGATGGGTACGACGGACCTTCTGTCAGGGGTGATGGGAGATCAGATAGGCGGTTCGTCCATTCTCCAGCGCGGGGGCTCATGGGCGATGGCAAGGAGCCATGGGTTGACGAAGAATTTTCGCACACTGTGGGAGACGAAGGCGAAGAGGCAGATGCTGGGGACGAAGCAGGTAATAACCCAAACTGTTCAGGTCTGAAAGTCGCGACAGGGCTCGTGTACTGCATCGGCTTCTCGGCAGGCGGAAAGTCGGCCGGATTCTCTGGAGGGGAGTACGCCGGGACAGGGCCTTGAAGTTGGAACTCTACTTTTCTCCTCGCAAGCTCGTACGCGCTCACATCTTGCGTGTCTTCCGTCCCGAATTCGGTGTGCTCATGGACCGACTTGTTGTCGTCTCCGTCCAGCTCGACCGGACCTATCGGTGCAGGCAACTCGTACACTGCGTGGTTAGCATCAGCCGCAACTTCCACAGGCTGGGCCGTGCTGCCCATAACCTCGTGTGTCGATACGCGCTGAGTCTTCTTTTTGCCCCGCACTTTTGTGAAGAACTTGGCCATGGGGCTTCTCGGCGACTCTGGCATAATTGACGACGCGGCATCTTTCCCATCTTCCAACGACCTAGTCATCTCCTGCGTCTTTCGCTGGCGGCGACGGTAGAAAAAGAAGCCAGCAAGCATTATCAGGCAAGCGGCGATCACGCCTGCCGCAATGCCACCCATTTGCGCTGTCGAGAGACCTGTATGAGAATTTACCTGGGCCGGCGGTGGGAAAGGGCTATTGCTAGGCTGCACAATACTCTTCAGCTGAAAGGATTGCAGAGGAGCATCCGGGAACAGGGCCTGGTGGAGAGAGAACACGCCTGTATCGTACTTGGTGATCAAGTAAGCCTCTTGAAGAAACGACCTTCCGATGATGAACGTATTGGTCAAGTTGGAGGCTTTTCGAAGAGGGAAGTAAGGCACTGAAGGTTCGCCATATTTAATCGTCTCGCTCTGAAATGGATATCGCAAAACTTGCGCAAAAGCTGCAGCTGTGATTGTGATGTTGACCACGCCCGGTACGGTGAGCGGGTGGCCAAAGTCGTCACTGTTGTCATGGCTAGAAAAGGAGAAGGTGAACGAGTAGGAAGATGCGCCGGCCTTAAAGTTGGCATACTGCTCATCGGTGAGAGTATACAGGTTGAAGGTGTTGTTGTAGGTCAGGTTGAATGCACTAGCGAATTCATCGCAAATAGCGTCAGGGAGCCAAAGAAAGGGGGTTGAGCTGTCGATCATGGCACTGAAAGATGTGGACATGTTGGACAAGATTCTCGTCTTAGCATCCCAGCCGCTCGGCATCTCCTTGCTTTGTGGCACAGTAACTTCGACGCCACGGACCAGGGCGTGAGGCAGACCGTCGCTCGGATCCAGGGAAAATTCGTTGTTATGTGGGACAAAACGGCTCGCGTCGTAGCCTCCCAGAGTGACAGAGCATGGCGTGCCAGACATGCCCACTGCAAGAGTTAGTATACGACCAAAGAAGCGGATAGCATGCACTCACTATAGTAGGCGCCAGCAGTATAGCCGTAGCTGTAACTGGGGATCCATCCGTAATTCTTGACCGCTTGCGTTAAGGGTGATTCGGCAACCTGATTGCCAAAACTGCCCTTGGTGATGCCGAGTCCGAGATATCCAAGATAGTAGTCGGTGCTGTTGATTGACGCGGTCACAATGTTGTCCATGCTCATTCCATCCCCAGTCAAAAGCGTGCTTGAAAGCTTGTCCAGTCCATAGTCGCCGTTTCCCCCATAGCCGAGATAATCAAGGCCAAGCTGCCATGCGCCCAACGGATTCCAGGATTTCGAGTCGGCAATGGTGAACACGTTGCCTCTGGCGGTGTTGCACAAGGGCTCCTCTTCATGAGATATTAGTTCTGACATGTCTAGGCCAGAGCGCGAGCTGGCATCTATGCGCTGATGAATGACAGCTGAAAGACTTACTTGCAAGACAGCCACCGGCTCCAATGGCCCAGAATTCAGACAAGGACGTGCTCGCAAGAACATTGACAGACTGTCCCGGTGTGCCGACTTGGAACTTCACTGTTGACCAGTTGCCGTCGACGCCGTACCTTGGTTCAGTTAGAGATGAGATTGCGGGCCCAGTTTAGGAAATGTCTCAGCGTACCAGTCGGTTGAAGGAGTGAGAGCAACTGCGGATTGACTTTGTGCGCGAACGATGCCAGCAAGCGCCGTTGCGACAAAGATTGTTGGAAGCATGTCGTCGATCTTGGGACGGAACCCGGTGGGTGGTTCATTCGAGGTGCGCCGAGTCACCAAGGCGTCTTTGCGATGTGCATGAGCGTCCCGAGGGAAGGGCTGGCAGTGCGAAGGGGCGTCTCCATGAACCAGACCTATCGTCGAACCGTGTTTAGGAAACGCTTTCGTATATCCGTATGCCGCGTGCCTATCCCAATGCCTCACGGATCCCAAGGCTAAGAAATTCTGTGGTCGAACGAGTGATCAGCCGTGAAGAGCAGAAAAATTGGGAGGGGAAGAGGGGGACACGGGCAATTGAACTCTGCGGGATGATCAACAGGAAAAACTAACTTCTGCCATCCATCGGATTGAGTGGGTGGCAGCCAAAGCAAGATAGCGTCCATGGTCATCCAAGCAAGGACAAGCCCGCGCTCTGCCAACTACGGCCAAGGGCTGTGCCGCAACAAGCAAGGGAAAGCCGGAAGGCCAAATGGCACGACGAGGGGTGAGACAAGGACCAGGCCCCCGTCCAGCACCGGTCTGGTGGTCCCGTCGTTCTTGGGAAAGCTGGGGACCGGGGTACAAAGCAGGCATCCCTGTCTTCTTATCGACACACAGTGCTTTTGCCCGCTTCAGGAAAAGTGCAGAGCGCGGCAGAGCCATGTCAAGCCCTCCCTTCTCAGCATGGCGCTGCCGCCGTCGCGCCTCATCGACGACCATGTGTCCGCCCCGCAGATGGATCGAGACCTCCCGCGCCGACAAGAATCAGCAGAGGCCCGAGGGAATGGCCGACGGGGCTTCATGAGGCTGCCGTCGCGGGCGGCGGGAGGGGTCTTTCGACACGGTAGCGTAATGGGCCAGTGACATGGGAGGCAATCCGTCAGTTGACTGGTTCTGGAGACGGCGGAGAGAGACTCCATCAGCTTACCTGGCGAGCAGGGGGATTGGGATTAGACGCGGTAGGCGAGGGCGACGGAACTTCATCCGTCGATTCGAGGAGAGAGTCGAGACCTTGGACGACTCGCACTTCAATCCGGAAAAACCAATACAGTATGGGCGCCTCTCGTCTGTTGGCGATGGTCTGGCATTTCTCTTGGTAGCACAGGCATGCATCCAGCCTGCCGATTCCATGACAGAGTCTCTTAAAGTTTTGGCCATTTCTGTAGCGGGACGCTCAACCGGTGATGAAGAAGCATGTGTAGCGTGAGCGCCTCGATAGGCTATTTTGGCGTGTCTGGCAGCGGTAAAGGATTCCATGTGAGGTAAGAAGGGCGAGGAAACCCGCTAGCTTGGCCACAGTAGGCTTTTCAAGTGTCTAGACCTCCTTTGTCTCTATCCGTGGTGTTGCTCCTCGAGATGCGACAGACTACAGGAGTCCAACGAAGCTGCAGTCGGGACGGCCGAGCAGTTTGCTAGCCAGGCATATTGGTAGACAAGCCACTGCAGCGGATGATCCAAGGGGTAGCAATCTCGATAGATGTCGAAGGTTTGCGATGGCAGGCTTTGGTTTATGACCAGTCACATGTATCAAGTCGCCTGTTCAACTTTGAAACAGAGAGCTACGGATTCATGACACAGGTTTGCTGAGCTTTGATGGAGGGGAGTTAGCCCCTTCTTACAGTGGACGACAGACTGTCGCCGACAATGCCGATGTGTTCGTTTTGCCTTGCAAGACGGTGATCATGTTGCCAAGGGCGTAAAGGCGAGGCAATATACCTGAGCCCTGGAGGGGCATGGAGCTGAAGGTCCGAAGCGAGGAAGTCCCTGGGTTCTCCCGCCGGATCTTGTCCCCGTTGGCCTCCAGTCCAAGGTACCTTAAGTATCCTTCAACGTAGGTGCAGATACATGACATGACTTGGGATGCTTGAGAAAGAACACCCAACGATCTTACATAATAAGGGGAAACCGGGGAGATAGCAACAACGACCCATGGGTTTTCCGCGACTTCCAAGTTCCAACTTTGGTTTGTTCTTTCCCAAACCCCAAACGGCGCCTCTTCTACCTCAAGGAGGAAGGAAGTTGGCGACCCAAGCCATCGGTTGAACCGTGCACTCAATACTCCCGCATAGTAGTACCTACCTACAGCAGGTGCAGGTTGTCGCTACGTACCTGAAGGTAGTCACTGCCGCATTGATTGCCTAGTACCCACTTCACAGGCTCAGTCTGCCCTGCCAGTCAAGCACACTTGGCCGGAGTCTCCGTCTCTTCCTTTCTCTTCCCCTTCTTCCTGCATATTCAATATTCAACCATCCGTCATCGACCACGACTAACAAGACGCTATTTTCTCAACGGCACCGGTGAATTGACGGACAAGCCGCCATTGACATCTCGTGAATCACAGCTGATGTGAGACGAGTAGCCGAGTGCAACTGAATCTTCATTCCGTTCCAAGTTCCCCCTCTTCCCGAATCCCAAGAGATTCGGCCTGCGACACTGGCCCGGCTTGCAGACATCGACCCGGACCACCGACCACAGTTGCGGCCACACGGCGTAGCAACAACTGCACATCATGGTCCCGCAAGGACGGGTTGGCCTCGACCCCAATGTGACGTGGGCCAACTGATGGATCCTTTATGCGCGCCCTTCTTCAACTCAATTGCCCTCGCGGGCTCTCGCCATTCATTGGAATCATTGCCAAACATCCGCGCCACAGCTGAACGATATCCCGACGTCTTATCACGTTGCTTATATGCCAATCGCCAGGGACACCTCTATTCTGGGTTCGCCTGCGTCCTCTGACATCGCATCGCCATTTCGACTTTGTGCTTCGCTTCACTCCATCGCCATCCTCGTCGCCTGTTCGCCTCGTCTCTTACATTTTGCATGTATTGCCTGCTAGCGTCAAGACATGTTCGTAGGATTGACAGCTTCCGCTCAGACGCTTAGATGACTGTATGGCATCCACACCTACCGCCACTGCCGACCGGCCCGCCTCCTTCAGACTGCCAGCATCGATAACGACAGTGCGTTAACTGCTCGTTGCCTCCCCACAGGATGGAAGCCCGGTGCCGGGATATGGGAAAACGCCCGCGCTGGATCTGTCATTCGTCAAGCTCCACCCGCTGTCGATAACTTCAAACTTAGAAAATCTATCGGCTTCTTCGGACCTCACCTCACTTTTCACTCAACGCCAATTTGAGTTATAATAAAGGCTATAGCTGACAATCAAGAGCCGTGCGAAAGAGAGATCAACAAAACAAGGTTTTCACTTTCAACGTTGGAATTTCATCAACATGATACACCTCATCAGCCTAGCCAGGCACAGAACTGACAGTACCACATGCACAACCTGGCCGCATGAGGGGCGCTAGCCAAAGGCAACCGGAGAGAGGGTGCCGCGGAACTCAAAGCTGCTTGTCATTCCCAAGCCTGTTGTTCCGCCCTCCGTCGGCGCGAGGCCTGCGTCTTCGGCAGATCCTCGCTTGTCGTCCCTCTGAACTGGAACCTCCGGCGGCGTCAACGACCCATTTGCACCTGTTCACATAAGGATTGACTAGTGACGGTTAGAAGTCCAATTCCAGTGTCATATCTGTCCCTCTGCCACTCACGAAGGTACACACTGAATTCCGTAGAACGAACTGCAGAGAGCCAATTTCGACACCCCTGACTCGCAGTCTGTGCTTAATACAAACAGCGGTCGGCAAGGTCAAATTGATCGCCAGCATGCCACTAAAGTGTCCTGTCACAGCGCCATGGCTCGACACTTTTCAACTGCATCAAGGTGCGTTGGCTCGTCGCATTGGCTGAGTGTCGCGCAAGAGTGCAACGCGATACCTACACTGAAGAGAAGTCAAAACGCGTCATCTGGTACCGGTACAGCGTATCAGGTTGCTGCGGTGCCGTGGCCTGATGTCGGTCTTCACCGCAGCTGTCAGACGCAGGTCGGAAATGGCGAGAAGCCTTCCATGCCGTGGCGCCCGTTCACTCATTGCCCCCACGCGCAACGGTGCGCTAAACATGGAGGCCGATTACGGACGATTTATTCGTCATTTTGGAGTGGCAGAATTGGATGGTATCATCCAATCTCTCTCCCTATGCCGAGCGGAGAAAATGCGCTAGGCCTGTCTTGATAGACCTGGGTTGACCCTGTTTACAGTTCTTCGAGCACCAGGTGATGAAGTTTGGCATATCGAGACCTCGAAATCAATACTCAAAGTCCAAATCGGCAGAATATATGATAACCAACTACTCTGACGCCGGAGTTTCATGCCACGCGCAGGATCAGAGTATAGTCATACCATGCCTACCTCCACGCCACCTTTCGATCAGCCCTACATTACTTTATTGTGCATGCCGACATCCGCGTGCCGTGTTAATGGTCAATGGGAAGCTGCTTGGCTGCGTTACACGGAACATAGAGTGGACTTGCGGCGTCAGTACTGCAAAATAGGCAAGCACGTTGGGCAGTCAATCTCACCCGACGGATAGGTTCAGGCCGGGCCTCTCTGAAGTCTGAACCTCTTTGGAGACGCATACGGAGTACGTAGTAAACAATTCAAGGTGTCTGCATGTCCTAGACATTTTTGCACTCCGCACATTTAGACGCACATCTCCCGGACGCACGGTGATTGCACCCGTGCACACTAAGGTAGACTTCGGCTCAAGCGGACCACAACAAATTGTCTTAACCCACCGTCATCGCCGACAACTATCCGAAGTGTCTTGGAGGGAGGACGGGCAGACGAGGTACGAAGCTAGTTGAGACTACCAACCAACCTCTTTACGGAGACAGAGTGTTATAGGCTTAGCCTTTCAACCACTAGCCGCAAACGCATTGTTGGCGAGGGTTTCTCGGTGTGCCTGCGCGATCTTCCCAGAAGCCTTTGACAGAATGTCGATCATTTCCCCTGCAGCTAATTACTGATGGCTACTATATTGCTACCAGGTCTTCGCACGTACTCATTGTCCGTTATGAAGCAGCTCCCCAAATTATGTATGGAGTGCTCGTCTTTATGGTCATAAATCCACAATCACAGACGCAAGTTGCCATCAAGCAAATCTGCGTGGCTGGCCCCTCCCTTCGATGGAGGCCGGATTGTCTTAGACATTTCTAGCTCACGGCCAGCACTGCCTTCGGTTGACACTAAAGACTAGAGGAGAGACACTACAGCACGTTTCTTGACTCGAACATCAACGAATGGAAGCGAACCAAGACGATACTTTTCAGCCGTCATTGACCAGCAATGGTGGACTTTCCGATGGACATTTTCCCCCTTGCAGCCGCACACCGTCTTGTCTTCTGCTCCAAGGAGCACTGGTACCAAAGTCTTGCTACTTAGACAGAGCTCGTAGTTGAAGACCGAGAGTCTGTAAAGATGCTCTCCTACTTAGTGCAACTAGAGCAAAAGCTTGGGGATGGCAGTACCGCCGCCGGTAGCAGCTAAAGCTCCGGTGCCACTCTGTCGCGTCGGCCCCTTGTCCTTGAAAGGTAGTTCTTGGTGGTCACCGCGACGCTAGAGGCCCAGCCGCGTCGGTTTTGATTGACGGCGGGCCATTTCAAATGAGATGGCTCCTGTCACTGCTACACTACATCAGTGGCACACACAAAGCCGGGAAGTTAAGGTGCCATGGTGAACTAACTAGCTGGCTGGCTCCCCTGTTCTTCCTCCCGAAGTTGCCAGGTTACGCGTCGGCGCACCCACCTTACGGTCCGAAGACAGCAGAGAATATGAACCCCCTCTACGCCCTAATCGCCGCCCGGCGCCCGGCGTCCATGGCCGTTTCCTCGCAACTTCATCGCCCGTGAATCCCGCTTCATTCCAGACCTTGTAATGAGTGTGTGGGCTTGACATGACTACTTCAGAGCCACGAGTACTTGGTAGTTGTCGCCGTATCAGTTCGTGTGTCGCGGTTACAACTAGAGTTGACCGTCAAAGGGGGCAAGGATGCGTGGGAGAAGGCGGGACTGCGATTCGAGACGATACATCGATATGAAACTCCTCAAGCTCGCATTGCTTTCCCTGGCGGCATTCTCGAACCCAGTCCAAGCCCTTCAAGTTGGTAAGTTGGCAAATATTGATTTTCTCTCAAACAGACCGAGAAGCTGACTGTACGGCAGTAAATCATATTCCTCACGGCAGGAGACAGGTCGTCGGCTTTAACAGCACGACATCATCGGCCGCAACAAGCTCTGCACTGCAAATTACGTCTTCATCTACCAGCTCAATCACCCAAGCAGGAAACCCGTCAACTAGCACAGTCGGGACCGAAATACTCTCATCTACCTCAATCAACCAGCTAGCAGGATCTCAAAGTTCGATAGGGATCTCCTCGGTAAGAGGAGAGTCAGGGATAGGCAGCTCATTGTCGACGACATCAGACGAAACCAGTTCGCAGATCTCGGCCGCCGTAGGAAGCACACTGACCCTTACCAATGGCACATCGCAAACCACAGCCCTTGTCACCGCGACAGATGTGATGACCTCGCAACCCAGCAGATCATCTTCATTCACTGGAGCATTGACACCGTCCACTGCTTCTACTCGAGATTCGACGTCAGTAGGTCTCAACATCGCGGCCTCTGGCAACCAAACTCGTACTGTGTTCACGGCGTCTTTACCGGCAACTCCCACGAGTGTCAGATCATTCTTTCCTATTAGCAACGTTTCAATATCCGCGTCGCCCAGCGGGAACTACACGAATGGAAATTATAGCGGCTCGCCCACAGACGACGGCGGGGGGGATTATGTGACTTTGACACTGAAGGGTGGTTACGAGCCACCTGTTGTCTGCATATCAACTACACAAGGCGCCGTACCGACAACTTGGTCAATAGTATACACGACAACAACGACAATCTTCGGGGATCCGACGGGTTACACTCCACCGGAACCCGAAATCACGATCCCAATCACCTGCAGTCCTGCAGGTCTGGAAGAAGGCAAGGGTAAGACAAAAGTGTCTGCGAGTGTTTCGTGTACCTCAGAGGATGGTGTGGATATTTGCACAACCGAAGCTCCTCAGTTTCCAACCTTCAGTTCAACTCTTGGTCCAGAAACGACTGTTACCTTTGTCACTACGGCCAAAAATCCCTCCGTGGTCTTCTCACCTATCAGTACACCCCGATATGGTCACGATCCTGAGACACAAGCCCCGCAAGACAGGCGCTCATCTGCGAAACCCACAGCAGAATCCACGCCGAAACCGACGCCTTCGACTCAGTCACCCAATAACGATCCGAGACCACCTGGCTCGCCACGTGAAAGTGCCAAGGAACCGCCCAAGGCTACCTACATGATTACCGTAGCGCCAACCAAGATCATCATCAACGACCAAACTTTTACGCAGACCGACCCTTCAGAGACGACTAAGGTGACAGTGAACGGCGATGAATTCACAATTAACCCGAGCGAGGTCATTGGGGGTGGGACGATCGTCGATCGGCCCGGCAACGTCGGTCGAAGCACCATGATTCCATCCAGCACGGTGTTGGGCGACTTGCCTATTGTGATTGCGCCCGCAGGAACGCAAAACGTTGTTGTCGTCGGTGGGACGACGTTTGGGGTGCAGGCTACTCCCATAACGGCTGTGGTTGAAGGCCAGACGATCACTATTGAGCCATCCGCCGTCATTGTCCCAGATCCAAACGCTCCAATCGGCGGTGCAGCTCCGGTAACGACAGTGGTGAAAGGGCAGACCATCACACTTGTGCCATCAGCGGCCGGTGCCCCCGGGGAAACTGTTTCATCCGGCCGCGCTGCTCCACTGACGACCGTGATCGATGGGCAGAAGACGACAAT